CCCCACAATCCCAGGTGCATGCACCAGGTGGCCAGGTCAGGGGCCCCCCTTCTCCCCACAATCCCAGGTGCATGCACCAGGTGGCCAGGTCAGGGGCCCCCCTTCTCCCCACAATCCCAGGTGCATGCACCAGGTGGCCAGGTCAGGGGCCCCCCTTCTCCTCCCAACCATCCCAGGCACACTCCCCAGGTGGGCAGGTCAGGGGGCCCTCCCCTCCCACCAGGGGAGGAGGTGGCTAACTCCCATCTGGATGCTTTTTGTGTTTCTTACTATGAAGGTTTTAAAATTTAAACATCAACAGCCTATTATTTCTCCACGAAGCACTGTTACCTATCAGCACTTAGATTCAGCACTAAATTCAACTTTGGATTTTGGTTAATTATCAAAATAGATAGCAGTTAGCCAGGTGGTATGGGCAGCCGCCGTTGGGGTTCCCACAGGAGCCTTCAGGGTTCAGTGGGGGGCACTGGCTCTCACACGGCAGTCTCCAGAGAGGCCTCTAGTTAAAAGGCAAGAGGAAACCCTGCACCCCAAAATGGCTTGTTCCTTATCATCAGCAACGCTGACTCAGCCAAAGGCTGAACGAGGCTCGCTCAGCCCAATTCCATAACTTTTCTATCTGTTCAGAAAAAGAAATGTATTATTTCTCAACACTGATAAAAGTTTAATACAGAGTTGCCCGGGTTTTTAATAAACTTGTCAACAAAAGAGCAAGGCAAATTGATGGGGCCCTTCTAGAGATAAATTTCGCCTCAAATAGACCCGCAGAGCAGGGGGCAGGCGGGAGGGAGGCAGGGGCGGGAGAGGCACGTGATTGTTTTGCTGTTCTTTGCAAAAATGGCAAGATAGACGTTTGTGTCTTATTATCGCAAAGATAGGGCTGGGGCAAAAGCTGGTTTAATTTGAAGAATGCTGTTGGTTGAAAACAGATCAGAGAGCCCTGAGGTCAAGAGAGAGGGCCGGGTGGCTCGGGGACAGATGAGAGACACATGTCCCAGGGTAAGGAAAAGCCACTTGGCGCACAGAGTCTGACTGGAGCCCCTCCTGAAGGGGGAGGGCACCTGCCCACTACTCCCCACAGAAGCAGGTCACAGAGCCCAGAACTCTGGGATGGCCACAGATGAAATGACAGGGGCATCTGTGTGGCCACCGCAGGCCTTGGGACACCAAGGAAGGCCCCAGCCTCACACACAAGTGTGTGTTCGGCTCTTGCTGCTTCCAAAGCGTTCTCTGCCCTCCCTGTGGCTCAGTGAGGCCTCCCAGTGTGCAGAGTCATTGTGGGAAGTGTCCCCATCTGTCCTCGGGCCGGGCGAAGCAGCCCCTGTCTGAGGAGCACAGGATGAGGATTCCTGCCCCCACTTAAGGGCGTCAGCTCCACGGACCTTGGAAGTGTTTGAAATTCCACCATTAGAGAGTCACTTCTTGAGTTAAGGGTGGAGGGAAAGCAGGTTCCCCAGGGAAGGGGCCTGGCAAGCTGGTGCTCGGGGCTGCAAGGCCTCTGGAGTGTGTTGCTGTAGCTGATGAGGGAGGGAAGCCGGGACAGGTGAGGAGGTACTGGAGGGAGGGGCAGCAGGGACTCCAGCGACAGCCTCCCTGCCGCAGACCTGAGCCCGAGGCCAAGGAATCAGGCAGTTCCCCGCACCCACTCCCAGGGCTGTGATTCTTGTCCCTCTTCACTCTTGGTGGGCAAAGGCCCTGCCATGCCCTGGGGAAGGGACCACAAGAGGTAGCTGGGTCCCTCCTGGACTTGGTGTTCTCCAAGGGGGCAGGTGAGGAAGGGAAGACAGAGACAGAGCCAGAGCCTCACAGCCCAGTCCCGCTGCAGCTGCTGGCCTCAGGCACTTGGGCAGTGGGCGGGGTCGGGGGCACTCCTCCGGCTCGGGCAGAGTCATCCGAGTTCAGCCTTTCCACAGGACAGCTGAGAACTTCGGACTATTTATACCGGCGTGGTGGGCGGGTGGGCGGGCAGGCGGCTGGGCAGACACATGCCGCCCGGAGCCATATCTGGGCATGATGGAGGGCATCGGCTTGCCAGGATGACAAGAGCCACACGGCGCAACTGTCCTGGGCGTCCTTCCTTCAACCTCAGAAAGTCCCCACGGGGCCCCCCGGGACAGGTTCCAGGGACAGCTGCCTTCTACCCCCTCTCCTGCCACTGTTAAAAATACTCTAGGTCGTTGTCCCCATCATTCCGGAAGTCGCCCTCCGTGCACGCTCATGCAAACACACGCGGGCACACCGCCTCCAGTCCCAGCCAAGGAGTTGCTTGACCCTGTGGGGAGTGGACCCCAGACTCCCAACCGCCAGGGCTGCTGGGTGGCCGCCTCCCAGCCAGGGAGCAGCCAGTGACCTCTGCACCCGGCACTGCTGAAACAGCCCTGTCTCCCTTGTCCTCTTCCTGGGGTGGACGCAGGAGGCCTGAGAGGAGCAGTGTGCCCCCAGCATCCCTGTCCTTCAGCCTCACGCACTTGCACTGCACTGGAGCGGCCCACCCGGCGCAGAAAGTAGCCCTGGCCTGAGGCTTAGTGGTGCCTCCAAAACCTGGGTGAATTGGCCAAGCTCACGGGGCCTTTGTGGTGACGGCTGAGCGGGAACCTCAGCCCTGCGTCCCTCTATCTAAGGGAGCCGGCGGTGGAGCTGCCAGAGGTGGCCCTCTGCTTCCTGCCCTTGAGACGCACGGCCCTGCATCTGCCTGCACTGCTCTGCAGCAACCCGCGGCAGCTCAGCAGCAGCCTGCCCCGCTCCTCGCTCCCGGCTCCCCGCTCCCCGCTGCAGCCGCTGCTCCTCCCCACGCGGCAGGATGGCCTTCCAGGGGTCAGAGCCGGCTGGGGACTCTGAGCACCAAAAGCAGAGTCCTCCCCAAAGGCAGAGTCCTCCCTGGGCACCCAGGGGCCTCCTGGGAGGGACCTCCCAGCCCAAGCTCTGGCCAGCTGGGCCCTGGACCTCAGGAAGGCACGGCTGGCACCAGGCTCCGGGAGCTGCCGTTGCTGTCTGCAGGCACCTTCCCTTCCCAAGAGCCATGCCCACCTCTTCTCGGGTGCGATGCCTCCAGTTCACAGGGACAGAGGCTGCAGGTTGGCCAAGGACAGCAGGCGAGGCCAGGTGCCTCACAGAGCCCTGCGCACCCATCCGAGAGTCTCCCTTGCCGGGGCCCAAGCCCAGCCACCCCGAGGTCAGCGTCCTGCCCAGGGGCAGCAGAGGCGGGAGCGGGGCTGCAGAGAGCACGGGAGGCCTCTGCAATCGGACGTGCACGCGGGGCTGAGTCAGCACAAAGCCTCTCAGATTGCTGGGTTACCCTTTATGCGAAGGTGGCAGCAACTCGCACGATGGCACCGCCCTGTCCGCCTCTGGCCGTCCCTGTCCAGAAACCTCCAGGCCAGCACTGCCCAGCCACGCCCAGGCCCTGAAGATAGCCCAGCCACTCGGGTTCCCTCATTTTTACTTCTGAGCACTTTTTGGGTAAAATTTGCAATTCAAGCAATGTTCATTTTGATGGACTCCAGCTGCAGCAGCTAAACTATCCGTCCTGTGGTCAATCTAATCATGCTTAATAGCAGTTCATTCGGAGATGCAACGCTTCTCACGTGAGTGCGGCAGTTTCACACAGGCTGCCAACGCACCTCTCACAAACGCTCTCACCAGCCCCTGCGCCCGCCTCGAAGGCTTCTGCAAGAAAATGCTTTCCTGCTCTAGATGAAAGCACTGGCAAGCCGGCATCACCAGCCACCCCTTCTTCAGAAGGAGGTGCCACCGTGTCCTTGTCCACCTGCTGCGGAAACGCAGGTCCACTCATCACCACTTACACGCGCGCAGGCACAGCGGTGGGGCCGACCCTTCCCAAAGGCCGTCCTCCTCCTTCGAGCTCCAAGACCCAGAGCTGGTGTCCCCGCTGGGTGGAAACCTCACCTGGAGCATGGCTAGCTTTTGTGAGCCACAGAACAGAACAATGTCACTAACTTGGTCCACTGAATTTATGGGCTCCAGAATTTCCACCAGCAGGAGCCTGGCCACCCTCCGATCGCCCTGGGGCAGTTTCCAGAGTGTTCTGGAAACCAGGAGCCTCCCCCTGGTGCTGCCTGCTCCGGGGAGAGAGACACACGGGCACTGGCCACCTCCTCACAGTCACACAAACTCACCTGGGTCCCCGAGCCGGCAGGCAAGTCCCAAGGGGGTAGGTGTCCCGTGTTCAGCCCCCCAGCCCAGTCCAGGCTCCTTTTGCTCTGAGAGTCCTGGCCCCCACGGTAACGTGCCTAAGTGGCCTCCAGAGAGTCCCTGTGGGCAAGACACAGCCATCGAGGCTCAGCACCCCCGCCTGCCCACTCTCCCCTTCTTCAAATGGACAGGCACGAAGCCCCCCACAGAAGTCCCAGCGTGCCGCTGCCCCATGCCGGCTTGAGGCTCCCTTCTCGGCGGCTGCCTGGGAGCCAGACTTTGGAGATTCACGCAGGGGAGGCTCCAGCCCAGGTCCCAGCATCCCAGGAAAGCAGCAGAGGCCCCAGGGAGCACCATCAGGCCACTCGTGCAGGAGAGAGGGACCTGGGCTGCCAGGGGCGGTGTCCATGCAATGCTCATTTTTAATTCAGCGTATCCGAGACTGGAGGTGATTTACGGCCGAGCAGGCCACAGCTCTCTCCCTGTGAACTCTCTAGTTTTACTGCTCAGTCAAACCTAATTCCAAAACACTAATGCTTTTATTAAACACCACATCCTGCAATAAAGCTTTAATGTACGACAGCCGCATCTAGGGAAGAGAACGCTGTGTCTGCGCCCACCAGCAGCCTCAGTGGCCACACGTCCGGCTACTTCCCTCCCTGTGGCCGGAGCTGGAAGCAGGCAGGGAAGAGATGACCTCAGGGGACGCTGGGCACTGACCCTCCGTCCAGAGGCAGAGAGGAGGCTGCGCCCAAGGTCAACACCGCGCCTTTGCAGCTGCGCCAGGTGGGGCCAAGGCTAGAAGAACACAGCTTCCAGAAGGAAGACTTGAGAGCCAGGAGCCCTGACTGCCAGGCCCTCCCCTCCAGTCAACTCGAGGCTCCCTGAGGAGTGGGAGCCGCCTGACAGCTCAGAACAGCCCCTGATCCCTTTATCCAGGGCTGCCTGTGCCGGCCCCAGCTGCTCAGGTGACCTGGCTGCCCCCAGACCCAAGACCTCCAGCCGCCGCAGGAGGGGGCTGCCTGCCTGTCCCTTTCTGTTCAATTCCTGCCAAAGGCCAGGGTGCGGGAGGTGGGGAGCAGGAGCACCTGCTGTGGCCGGAGCAGTGCCAGGGCAGAGAGGACATACACTCTGGAAATTAATATTGAGGCCTGTGGTGGGTGGGGCTGCCCGGGCAGGGACCCGGCCTCATTCCAGGCAGCAAACGCCTCCAATCTGAGACTCCAAAACGAAGCCAGGCAAACACCCCTCACGCAGCGGCCCAGCGCCTGCCTGTGACCCCAGAACCCGCTGCCCATCCTCTCCCTGAAGGACCAGCCCTGAGGAAAAGGGTTTCACAGGCAGGTCCGGACCTGGCCTCAGCCCCTGGGCCCCGGGGTGTCCTCCTGGGCCTTTCTCAGGCTGGGACTGGGGCGGTGGCAGAGCGGGTGGCTCTCAGGCCCTGACCGGCGGGGCAAGCAAGGGGCCCTGGGCCCCATGGCACTTTCTGCCAAAGCCTCCCCAGCATTCACAGCAAAACATGCCTCAGGTTGGATTCAGCGGAACAGAAAGCTGAACCGGGGTTCCGGCAGGGTTCCGGTGGGGCGGCATGAGCCAGAGACATTTGGCAAACCCAAACAGCTCCCAGGCCCCTGGTAGGGGCCGTGGGCTCCGCGCTGCACAGACTCCACTTCTCCGAGCCTTTCCCAGGTGCCCTCCGCAGAGGAGTGGGGCCTAAGGGCCCTCGCGGCAGCCCTGACCCACTGCGTTCCCAGATCTCTGCGTGCGGGCTGTGGCTTCCTTGGGGCCGCATGCCTCCCAGCTCCTCTGCCTTGCCCGTCGGGGGCCTGCCTTCCCTCTCAGCCTCTCCACTTGCGGCCCAGGCCCTCCCTCCCTCCTGCACCCAGACACCTGCTCTTTTCCAAACTCGCTCTTGTCTTGTGCGTCTGAGCCGTGTCTACCCTGGCCACATTCGGCCCTTTCTGCTGGCTGATGGCCTCTCCCAGGGTGGTTGTCAGGGGAGCCCCCAGAGCCACCGCCACTGCCCCATGCTCTCCAGCCAAGGCCCCGACCCCCCAGCCCTCCCCTGCCCCGAGCCGGACCCCACGCCTGCCGGAGGCCGCCTCCCCTCTGCCGCAGTCAGCACGCTGAATATTTAATGTCTGGTGAGCACTTCCACCTGCTGACACAGGCAAAGTGACAGAACAATGCTGGCGGGGACACGACCGTCCACCGACGCCCAGGCAGCCTGCTGCCCGCCCCGGCCCCGCCCCAGCCTCGCCCCGGCCTCACCCCTGCCCAGCCGCCTGGCTGGCTGTCGGCCCCAGCGGCCCCCATGGCGTGGAGTGCCCCTCAGTCCGGCGAGAGAGTTCCCGGCCTGAGATACATACTTCTTTACATTCCATAGCTCAGCAGGTCCATATGGGCATATAAAGAAGTATGTTTCCCAAGCAGGCAGTGTGCAGTTCCGAGACCCCGGGCCCCCCACAGCGCAGAGGCACTGGGACTTAGGCCCTGGCATCCACACCTGGGCCCTCTCTGTGAGAGCAGACAGCCTTCCTGCCACCTCTGCCTGGGGTCCCTCCGCCCTCAGGGTCCCAGGCTCCCTGCTCCCTCTGACCTTGGCACCCCTCCACCCCCGTCTCCATCTCTCTCTCCCTGTCTCACACACTCGCATGATCCAGAAAGGCAGAAGCAGACAGTGAGTCCCAGAAAGTCTTGAGTGCCGGTCCCTGGCCCCAGCAGCAGCTCAGCTTTGCATCCATGGAGACAGGCTGCCCTCCACCCTCACCAGAGTAGGGAGGCGCCGTCCACAGCCCAAGCTTCCAGAGCCAGCACTTCCCTGACCCCTGGCCCCGCATCCCAGCCAGGCCCAGAAAGGGCTGGGTGGAGAGAGGGGCCTCGGGGGACACGCTGCCCAGCACCCCACTCGCAAGACCAGCCTCCTCCAGGAGCCGGACAACTCCTTGCTTGTGAGGCCAGATGAGGAGTTGCAGGCCAGAGGCCCGAGAGGTGCCCGGGGGACTTACCTGGGCAGCTGGCAGCTTCCTGGGCAGGTCCCTGGTGAAGGCTGCCTCCTGGGACCTGGTGTCCCCGAGGGAGGGCTCAGCGTCTCTCTCTGAAGATGAGAAAGACGACCCTTGGAGGATTCCAGGTTCCCAGAGCGTGGCTGGGAGCTCCTGAGAGGCCGTCCACTGGGGGCAGCTCCTAGGCGCCTCAGCCTGGCCACAGCGGACACTCAGTGGGTGTGGGAGTGTCTCCCCAGTTCTCTCCCTCCTTCTCTGGATCTTCTTCACCCTCTCCCCCGTCTCCGCCTTGCAGCGTCACCAGCCCGGACTGCTTCTGCCCGCCCGCCGCGCAGTGCGGACCACTTGAAGCAAGGCTTCGCAGCACCAGCCGCCGAGCGGGCACCGGGGTCAGCAGGCACCGCACCTGCCCAGCGCCACGGCCGGGCACCCCCGGGAGCTGACCCCACACCTGCCTCTTTGTGGCCAGCCGCCCAGCCTCCACCGGCCCCTGATCAATACCAATTTACAGTCAAATGCAAGGGGGGCTGGCTTCCTGCTAATGAATTTCCCGGTACTCACTAGCTCCTAATGAGCCTGTTAAAGAGGGTTTAAGTAAACTTAGCAAGTGGCAAACTAAGCACTTTGGAGTACCTAATTGTATCAATATGTTTTTCGTTGCATTTAAATCTGCCTCTGAGTGGGAAGCAGAGGTTCACTCCTTCCCTGCCAACTTCTATGGCCAGCTGTGAAGCCAGAGGCTGAAAAATGTGGAGAAAGAGCCTGAAGGAGACCAACGGGACCTCAGGGTTAGGCCTCACCAGCAGAAAGGGAAGCCGCCCCCACCTGCTGGAGCGGAGATAGGGGGAGGAGGGGGAAGGAGAGGAGGAGGAGGCCTACAGGAGGAGGTGGCCCAGGGCGAGCCTGGCAGGTGAGCTGGTGAGAGGTGAAAAGAAGGCTCTGCAGGTGCCTGCAGCTGTGTGGCTGTGCGCTTGTGTGGCTGTGTGGCTGTGGGGCTGTGTGGCTATGTGGCTGTGTGCTTGTGTAGCTATGTGGCTGTGTGGCTGTCAGGCTGTATGCTTGTGTGGCTATGTGGCTGTGTAACTGTGGGGCTGTGTGGCTGTGTGGCTTTGTGGCTATGGAGCTGTGTGGCTGTGTGCTTGTGTGGCTGTGTGACATGTGCTTGTGTGGCTATGTGCTTGTGTCGCTGTGTGGCTAGGGGGCTGTGTGGCTATGTGGCTATGTGCTTGCGTGGCTGTGTGGCTGTGGGGCTGTGGGACTGTGGGGTTGTGGGGCTGTGTGCTTGTGTGGCTGTGTGGCTATGTGCTTGTGTGGCTGTGTGGCTGTGTGCTTGTGTGGCTATGTGGCTATGGGGCTGTGTGGCTGTGTGCTTGTGTGGCTGTGTGCTTGTGTGGCTGCGTGGCTGTGTGCTTGTGTGGCTGTGTGGCTATGGGGTTGTGTGGCTGTGTGCTTGTGTGGCTGTGTACTTGTGTGGCTATGTGGCTATGGGGCTGTGTGGCTGTGTGCTTGTGTGGCTGTGTGCTTGTGTGGCTGTGTGGCTGTGTGCTTGTGTGGCTGTGTGGCTATGGGGTTGTGTGGCTGTGTGCTTGTGTGGCTCTGTGGCTGTGTGCTTGTGTGGCTGTGTGCTTGTGTGGCTATGTGGCTGTGTGCTTGTGTGGCTGTGTGGCTATGGGGCTGTGTGGCTGTGTGCTTGTGTGGCTGTGTGGCTATAGGGTTGTGTGGCTGTGTGCTGTGTGGCTGTGTGGCTGGGCCGGGCACAGCTGGGTTGGAGTTTTACATGGGGGTGGGGGTGAGGATGGGTTGTGCTTAGGGCCCTGGGAGGCATCCCCTCTACAAAGGAAAGAGCAAATGGCAGAAAGAAGCAGAAGCTGATGTCCCATTTCCATGTGGCTGCTGTGATTTATCATTTTCACGGAGCCAAGGATACCAAAAGGGCACCCGACACCGCAACCTAAGCTTCCGCTTCAGGGGTGCCCGGTGTTCTGGCGCTCGTCTGCGCCCTCCCAAGACCCCCACCATAACTGCCCTGGAGTCCAGGGAAAAGGCCTCCCCAACGTCCCTGCTCCCTGGCACAGGAGCCCTCAGAGCCTGGGACACTCTCGCAGACTGGCTCAAGCCCTCCCCACCTCTGAGGCACTCACTGGCATGGGGGATGGGGGCTGGGGGAAGCTGGGAGTCCTGAAGGGCAGGAGAGTCACCCCAGACCCAGCAGGAGCCCACAGGACTTCTGCCCATTCACAAACGAATCACAGTCACTTTTCAAAAAGTTTCCCATCTAGATAGAAAAAGAGCACCCAGCCACCTCCAAGCAGACCCCACCGTGAGCAGAGCTGGTGCCGGGTGCCCGGGCCTCATCGGGGCTGTTCAGCTGCAAATGCCACCCTGGCCCCCCACGCCAGCCTGAGGGAGGCCATGAGGAACTGAAGCTCCCCAGCAGGGACCCGCACAGACCCAGACCCCCAGGGCTGCTCTCCCCGAAGCCCCCCTAGTCTCCGCCCATGCATGCCCCCCGCCCCCCGCCCTGCCCTGCCCCTGTCAACGCCTCCTGACCCTGACGTGGCTGGGAGAGCTGCAGAAGTGCGGAGTCGGAGTCGGACCGGAGGCAGCCTGGCCTGCTGCCGCTCAGCTCCGGAATCCCTGCCCCCACCAGCACCTCAGTGGGGGATACCGCAAGTTCAAGGTAAGTTTAGCCCCATGCCCAGCTGCTGGGGCTTTGTTGCGGAGTGTCAGGTGAATCGTGTCCCCTCAGCCCTGAAGCCCCCACACCCTCTGCTGCCCGTGCTGGGGGCGGCTGCTGTCTTGCAAAATGCCCGCAAGTCAAAGTTCCTGCCTCCCAGTTGGACGCGCCCTCCCGGGCCTGCCGGCTGCTGGCTCTGCAGTTTTCCAAATGTGGGTGATGCCGCGAGCCAAGAGAAAACTCCACGGCACCCCCGCTGGAGCCGCACCGCGCCAGCACCCACACGGCGCCAGCACCCACAGCACCCACCTCGCCGGCAGGCACACCCCCACCGCGGCGCCCGGCAAGTTTGCAGGGGCCGTCCCGGCGGCCCGGCCGTGGTGACAGGCTGAGCAGGACTCACCGAGCAGCCTGGGGCACCCCTGGGGCCAGGCTGGTGACAGCGGCGGCAGGCACAGGGTCGCGGCTCCCTAGGAGATGCTGCAGCAGCAGCCGCACCAGCCACCTCCTCCGGGAGCCAATCGCGAAGGCAGGGGTGGGGGCCGGGATCCATGCGTCTGCACTTGAGGGGGACAGAGAGAGAAAGAAGACACCAGGCACCCCGTCTCCACACCCCTGCCCTTCCCCCAGCCCTCCTGCAGCAGCGCAGACCTAGCGGGAGGGAGATCTTGAGAGAGAGAGAGAGAGAGAGAGGAGAGAGAGAGAGAGAGAGAGAGAGAGAGGAGGCGCTGGTGCAGAGTTAGGGAGAGGCAGCCAAGCTGCACACCTTGAGCCCGGCCTCCTCCGCAGGGAGCCCCTGCACCCCAGCGGGGTCAGCACAACGTAGAGAAGGTAGAGGTCAGGGCGAACAAAAGGGAAGGTCCCACGGGCGGGCGGGCTCTCACACGCACACAGCCGGCTCCCGAGAAACAGGCGGCGGGGGAGGGGAGGGGAAGGCCTGACCCGAGAGGCCAGAGCGGGCGTGGGGGCCCCCCTCGGGTCAGGAGCCGGCCTCACCTTTGCAGTTCTTATATACCCGGCCAAGCATCCCAAACACGCGGGCCTGGCCAAGTGGCCCCCTCGGGCTGCACTCCCTGACCATATTTAGTCAAGCAGGGGAAAAAATAGCCTGTCAGCTGGGCCGTGGCTGGCCCGGCCACCGGGAACAGGGTGGGAGCACCCACGCCATTGACGGCAGGTCCCGGGCCGGGGCTGCTGTCCGGCCCCTCCCGGCCGCTCCCCAGCAGCCCCCCCGGCCGTCCCTGCGAGATCCCCTGCTATTTTTAGCACGGCCCAGCACACGGGCGCCTCCTTGGTAGCCGGTAGCCGGGCAGCGGCCTCCATGCCACCCAGCAGGCTCCTAGGTGCCCTGGGGAGACTCAGGGATCTCCCAGGGTGTGGGGCCAGGGCTAGGGGGTAGGGGCAGGAGGCCATGGCCTCCTTCGCAGCTCTGGGCCCCCAGTAGGCTGAGCCCACCTGGGCCACCCACTCCTGGGTCCCCTGTCGGCTCTGCCTTTTACCCAGAATTGGGCCAGGATCAGGTGGTGATGGAGCCACCTGGGTTTCCAGAGACTCTCGAGCCAACCCCAAGTCAGGACAAATGCTGTCACCTTGGACAGAGGCAAGGCCCACCTACTTGCCCCCTCCACCCCCAGCCAGACCCTGCCACCAAGGGTGTGTGATGGGGAGACCCCAATCCCCCGGTGCTGGTCGGGCTCAGGAGCTCCCCCTTCTGGGATTTCATGCCCGAATTATGTAACAGACGTGGGCCTGGGACGGGACCTGGACTCGGGACGGGAGGCCAGGACTGGCAGACCATCCTCACAGGCTGTGCAACGCTGGCTGTTCGTCCCGTGTCTCTGGAGCCCTACAGGACCAGGGACCACGACGTGGAATGGTGGGGGACCGCAGTGGTCCAGAGCCCGCAGGTTGGTGGCAGGCGCAGGCCCATGTAGTGGGGACAATGACCTTTGCTATTTGTCAGTTCTGTCCAGAGCCTAGGTCATCCGTTCAGAAACCACCTCAGAAACGCCCCCACCGCCTCCCGGGCTTGGGAAGACATCCCCTTGGTTCTGGCCAGTCTGGGGCACAGGGCTGGTGAGCCCATGCCACTCAGAACGGGCTCAGCTACATCTAATCCCAGGGTACCCCTGTGAGGAACCTGCATCCTCCAGGATGGCCTGCGGGAGCTGAGAAGGGGTCCCTCTTCCAGGTTCACCTCCTGGGCTCATGGCCCCTTCCCCACACCCGGAGGCCAGCTCTGCAGAGCTGTGGAGCTGGAGCCCCAGCCACACTGGCCATGCAGACAGACACCGTGGGGTGTCAGTGCCTAAGATGCCTCTCCCCTCTCTTTCCCCCTGCCCCCCTTCTCTCCCCTCTCCCCTCCCTCTCATCTCTTCTACCCACTGGGGCCTCCCTTTCAACCCATGGTGGAGTGGGCCTCAGGCAGCATGGCCTGGGCCATCAGGGGCAAGGGCAGCTCTGGGACATGGTGTCCAGCCAGCGACATCAGGGGACGAAGGGGTGCCCCCTGCCCCTGCCCAGTCCAGAGGCTTCTTGGGCGATACCAGGCCCTGCTCCCAGCCCTGTGCGCCCTGCTGAAGACCCCACGTCTCACCATGAATGAGGCCAGGGGGCTCCAAGCTTCCACCAGCTCCGAGCACTTTTCTGGAAACTAAGTAGCTACTCGGCTTCCCACTGGCAGTGGGAGAGCGGGGTGAGGGCCGTGTCCAAACTCCCCCTGCCAGGCCCCTCCCCCCGGCACCCCGCTTCCTTCTACCTGCCCTCTCCAGGCAGGGGTGAGGGGGACAGGCCGGACCTGCAGCTGGGGTCAGCAGGGGAGGTGGGGAATGGTGTGCAGGCCTGGGCAGGTGGCTCTATTGAGGATTCGGGTGGCCTGTGGTGGTGAGAGGGAGGGGGTGCGGTGGACAAGGCCATAAGTCACCGTCCTCGGCAGCCCCGTACCCGCAAACCAGGGCACAGGTCATCACTTCCCAGGAGAAGGGCTGGTGTGGGTGGCCAGACCCCCAGGTCCCCACAGTCCCGAGGACAAAGCCAGAGGACAGAGCAGTTCCCCATTTACCCGCAGCACCAGCCTCACAGTAGCAGCTGGCACCCAGCGCTTAGGCTGCCTGGTGTTCCAGAAGCTTCTTCCGGGGCTCTACGCTGAGCTCAAGGCACCCTAAGAGGAGGACATTTTTGCTCTCCCCACTTTACCAAGGAGGAACCGGGGCTTGAGGTGGGTGCTCACTTGCCCAAACTCCCACACCCAGCATAGATCAGAGCTGGACCCGGCCAGTCTTACCCCCACTGCGTCCCAGAGCTGCCCTTGCCCCCGATGGCCCAGGCCATACTGCCCGAGGCCCACTCCACCAGGGTTTGAAAGGGAGGCCCCAGTGGGTAGGAGAGACAGGAGGGAGGGGAGAGGGGAGAGAAGGGGGAGGAGGCAAGGGGGCAGAGGGGAAGAAAGGGGAGAGGTGGCGTAGGCCCCTCAGACTTTCCCCCTAGTGTCTGCAGGTGGTTTAAAGTGTGAATGAATGAGGAGCAAGCAGAAGACCTGACAGCAAGGCCACCGAAGCCCTCACCCCACAGGGACGCCTGAGCTAGGACCCAAGCAGGGGACAGCAGGCTCACCCCGCCCTTGCAGGGCTGACCACACGCCATGACGGTGAGTGCTCTACCCCATCCCACGTGGCTTCCACTGGCCACAAGTGGCTGCCGAGCACTCGGGAACGGGGCTGGTGCCACTGCAGACCCGGATCTTCTACTCAGCGCGGCTTTGATTTGTTTCAGCTTCAGAAGGCTCATGTCACTGGCGCCATGTCGGACAGCAGGGGAGAGAGAAAATGCACAACCCAGCAAATTCGGAGACAGGCCCAGCACTGGGCACGGGGGCCGGAAGGAGCAGCCAGAGGGTAGGGGGCAGGGCCTGGGGTGGCCTTGCAGGTCAGAGGTCAGGGAAGGCCTGGGTGGGGTGAATGAACAGGCCCTCCAATGATGTCAGAGGGGCAGGTGGGGAAGGGTCCCGGCAGAGCAGCCCAGAGGCATGCACGGGGAGGCAGCAGCCTGGAGGCGGGAAGGGGGCCCTGGCATGTCCAGCAGGCAGCAAGAGGCTGGCATGGCTGCACCAGGGCAGTGGCGGTGGATGGGTGGCCTGGGGCTGGGCTTCGGGCAGGGTCAGACCACGCCAGGCCTTGTAGGTCAGTACCAGGGCTGTGCGTGTCCTGCTGAGGGGCACAGGCCTGGACAGGCTGGCACGGCTGTGGCAGGGCCCCTGTGGCTGCTCTGCTGAGGGTGAGGGCAGAGGGCAGAGGCTGGAGCATCAGGAGGCCCCGCCCAGCCACGGTGCCCCGGGGAGGGCTGCCCAGTTCTGGCGGTGCCTTGAAAGTTTGCCCAAAAGATTCACTGGTGGAGCCGATGTGGTCACAGGAGCAAGAAGGATGTCAGAAGGCCTGGGCCCTGGTGGACAGGTCAGAGGTCAGGGAAGTCCTGGGTGGGGTGAATGAACAGGCCCCCCCAGTGATATCAGAGGGGCAGGGGGAGCCCTATGGCCTAGGCCCTGGGGAACAGGGTGCATCCCCTGGGAGGGGGACGTCCCATCACCAGGGAGCCTTCTGAGACCATTTTGCAGGTGGGGAAACTGACGTTCAAGAGGAAAAACCAGTTGCCCAGCACTCAAAGACCCAGAGCCTGCCTTCCTGCCCCTGCATCCTAGTCTGTCCCCAGATCTGAACCTGCTCCAGCCCCAGAACCCTGAGTGCAGCCAGAGGGGAGCAGGGCTGGAGAGTGGGGAGCACCGAGAGGTGGTGCAGAAGAGGCCGTGCCCGGCCAGAGAGGCGGGAGAAAGTCTCCTTCACGCAGAGGCTGCGGCCCACCCCAGAGGGTCCCAGTGCTGGGGGCAGCTCCCAGCCAGGGGCCTGGGATTTGGGTAAGTGGAGGCACATGCTGACTCTGGCCACAGGGCACCCGGCACGAGGGGAGTTCACCGCACGAGCTGAGCAGGGGGCGGGTGCAGGAGAGCTGAGGTCTCCCAGAAGCCAAGGGTGATCAGGAGGCCCCACACCACAGCACCTCCCACAGGGACACCCATCCGGCCTGGGAAGCGGGCTGCGATGCTGGGAAGGACGCACCTGATCCTGGATTCCAGCCTCACCCTGGGCCACCACTGAGTGTCCCAAGTGGCCCCTTAGCTCCCAGGGCCAGGTGGCAGCATGGCAACCCCCTTGGGATGTCTGTGCTCAGAATGTGACCTGCACCCTCCTCCTGCACCCCCCACAGCTGTGGGTTGGGGTCTTTATCGTGGGCAGACATTCACACAGTCAGGGTGAGGGTCCCAGGAACAGCTGTGACGAGGCCCTTGCTGCCGGGGAGAGGGGGGCCCTCAGCCAGTGGGGCAGACACCCTGAGATGGACCCTCGTCCAGGGGAGGGCCCTGCTGCCCACATGTCCTTGGCATTCCTGCCGCCAGCAAGACAGGCTGGGGGAGGTGGCCCCGTAGCACCAGCATCCCTGTGCCCTGGTAAAGGGGAGGTCCCTCCGAGCCTGGGCCTGGCTGTGAATGAGGGCAGTGTTCTCACCTGTCCAATCTCAGCTTCCTCACCTGGGAAGAGGAGCCGCAGCACCCCCTCGGGGATAACGAGGACGGGGAGCTCAGGGAAGGCCCCAGGCAGGGCTGCCGCCTCACCTCCCTTCAGCCTTCGGACACTGGAGCTCAGAGGACCAAGTGAATGAATGAATGAATGACTCGATCAATCAATCCATCGATCTGAAAAGTTGGGTTGTGGGCAGGGTGGGGGACTCTGGCTGAATCCACGTTCATATGTGTTCAGCTTTGCGAGTGGGGTGAGGCTGGGGCTTATTCAGTGGGGGAGGTGTAAGGCAGGGCCAGTGCCCTTGGAGGGTCAGGCCACAGAGGGTGGGGACACCTGCCAGGATGCCCAACCCCAGAGGCAGGGGGAGCTGTTGGGGAGCTGTGGTCCCAGTCAGCGGTGGCTGTGATGGGAGCTGCTCCCACTTCGT